TAGGACATCTTGGAACGCACTGAGGAACTCCTCTCTCGGAGAGGTGACGCGGTGTGGGGTGACGGAGGGGCTCCTTTGCACCTGAGAGCATTAAAATAATTTAAAACTTTCTATCTGATTCCCTTGCAAAACCAATCAATCCCTCATTCGACATATTGTACAGCAGCTAATATAGCTAGCTCTAGAATAGCTTGTTAGGGGGGGGGGGGGGGGGATTGGCAGAGGTCGCCACAGATGGCTTCCTCTGGAAAATGGCCTTCTTTGTAGAGGGGCATTCTTTTTTCTCTTACAAATAAAAACTGCATTTCCCTGAAGAGGCGAGGGTGAGCAAAGCCTCGTGACTGTGCACAGCTCAGGATGTCTCACATTGACCTTCAGAGATGCGGACCATTCGGTCTCCAACGTTCCCTATCTTCTGTGTGGTGCCAAAAAATAATCATTTATTTTTGGGTGAAAATATATATATATTTTTTTAAATCTCTGGGATGCTCAAGAAAACTGGGGGAATCTCTCTGAAGGTCAATGCAAAATTAATAACACATTTTGAGCGCAAAAGTAAGGCAAACCACCAAGGTGACTTTGATTCGTAAGGGGGCGGGAGCAAAAACAAGGCCCGTCGGCTCAATTCACACGTAAAGCGATCATCAAATATATTACACATGTACACATTTTTGCACAATTCTTGGAAAATCCTACTTGATTTTTTTGGCATAATCAACTTAGACATACTGATCAATATGCAGTTTGTTTGCTTACATGAAAGTAGAATATGAAACAAAGAGTACCCACTTGTTGCAAAGGGTACATAGTAGAGCAAGGCTTTTATATTATATAAGATATATTCACAACGTATAAATGTGTGAGAAGTCTCCACAAATGCAAAATCGAGTCACGTTTATAGCGTGCCGTCTGAAGCCGGGGTCCACCCCCCACAGGCAAGTCTTCACAGAAGACGAAGGAGACAACGCACCCTGGTGCCTAACATGTTAAAAAACGAGTTTCATTTTTAGATCTGTCCAGTTTGAACAATCGTGTCTCTTTGGCACACCAGCCCAGGAGCTCTGGAGCATCAGCTGTCCAACAAATCACTTTAAGTTTCGTCAAGATACTAAGACAAAAAGAGAGGGGGAAAAAAAGGCTACATGAGTCCGACAGCGATGTAAAGTTTGAAGAAGGTATCTCGTTTCCTTTGTCTCTTTCGCTGTCTCTCCTCATCTGGTCAGCAAGCAGCTGCGTCTCGGCCGGACGGCTTCGGCCCTCCGGTCGTCCCGCTCAGTGGGGGTCGCCCGCATCAATAAAGGTCAGGCGCACGGTCCCACGGCAGACGGCGGAAACAAGAGAAAACTTTTTGCAGCTTTTCCGAAAAAGGGAGGCCACGAATTCCTCCCGCGGGAAGCGGCGGCCCGCCTCACGTGGACTCCAAGGGGTCCAGCTGGAACGCGTTGTGATGGTCGGGTGATGAAGTAGAGCTGCTGGCTGGGCGCTGCGATGCGTTGTCGCACGGCTCTTGAGGCCCAGC